AATGCCTTCTTGACCCCGATCAAGCAGCTATTACCCCACTAATTAGAAATTAGATACCTGTATGTTATGTTTTTGCACGTATTTATCCAATTGCAGTTTAAACAACTGTATAGACTCTGACAAAATTACCTCTTCAGGAAGTGAATTCCATATCCTTATTGCTCTTACTGTAAAAAAACCTTTTTTAGCCTTTAACCTTGCCTTAGATTAAATCTCCTTTCTTCCAGCCTAAATGTGTGACCTTGTGTCCTATGTATAGCCCTGTTTACAGGGTTTGTACTGGCTCCGGATATATTTGTATAATGTTATCATATTCCCTCTCAGGCGCCGTTTTTCCAAACTAAACAGATTTAATTTTTTTAACCTTTCTTCATAACTAAAATGCTCCATTCCTTTTATTAATTTCGTAGCTCGTCTCTGCACTTTTTCTAGTGCCGTGATATCTTTCTTTAGAACAGGTGCCCAAAGTTGCACAGCATATTCAAGGTGTGGTCTTACCAGCGATTTATAAAGAGGCAAAATTATATTTTCATCCCGAGAATGTATGCCCCTATTTATACATGACAAAACCTTACTGGCCTTAGCAACTACAGATTGACATTGCATATTGCTGTTTAATTTGTTGTCTAGAACAATTCCCAAATCCTTAACATGTGTGGTTATCCCTAATTCACTACCATTTAGGGTGTAAATTGCTTGTGCTTTCTTAACCCCAAAGTGCATAACTTTGCATCTCTTTAAATTTCATCTGCCATTTTAGGGCCCAGTCCCCCCAATCTATCCAAATCCCTCTGCAGCAAAGCAATATCCTGCTCACATTTTATTACTTTACAAAGTTTTGTGTCATCTGCAAACATTAATACATGGCTTTAAATGCCTATTTCAAGATCATTTATAAATATGTTAAATAAAAGCGGTCCCAAATCAGAACCCTGAGGGACACCACTTACCACTTTTGTCCAGCTTGAAAATTTACCATTAACCCCTTAAGACCGGAAGGCGTACTATTACGCCCTATTTTA